ATTATTATTATCATTATTATTATTATTATTATCGTTATTATTATCATTATTATTATTTCATTGTTATTATTATTACTGTCATTTTTGTTATTATTATTATTATCATTAGTATTATTCTTATTATGTTTATCATTATTACAATTATTCACATTACTGTCATCATTATCATTATCACTACTATTATCATTAGCATTATCATTGTTACCATCATTACAAGTATGACTACCATAATCATTACTACTCTTATCACTACCATCATTATATCATTTTATTTTTTACTGATAATAACATTATTACTTCCCTGACGTATGAATAACTCTATATATTTCCTTATTTTATTTTCTCTAACTGTATTTCAATTCTATATTTCCGTGATAACAATTTTCGTGACATGAAGAAGAGAAATAAATCTGATAAAAGCTGTTATCAGTATTTCTAAGGTTGTCATCTGTTACAATATATTGCAATTTGAGTTTAAATTAACGGAAAAACGGTTATCTGCAGTGTCATGAAGCGATATAAGATATAAATCACGTGATACCGTCATGGAATGGCTTTCTTCTTTGGGAAACAGGAAAGATATACCTGTTTTGCATAATGATATAAAGCGACGTCTCTGTATCTTTATGAAGTCAGAATAAAATTGAAGATAAATGCATAGAACAGCAGAAGCCAGGGCCGCCCAGTGCAAACCGAACGCTTTACAACTGCATAATGTACATTAAATGTTGTATATCATAAACTTATTGAGTAAAATGTTATTGGTAGAATGTATAGTCTGCAGCATCTTCGTTAGCATAAATAAAGCCAAAATTTCTTTAACATCTTGCAAGCATTTCTATGCAATTATTATGCTAAGAAATAGGTTAGTATCTTCGTTTTGCTTTTGGTCAAGAAAATAGATGCTGACTTCAAGCAAAGATTTGAATATGCTAAGCAATCTAATATACTAAATGCGTATTCTACATGTACTATTTACAATAATGCACATTTTGCATGTTCACACAAACGCACAAATTTACAATATATCAATCTACAGGCATATATACGCACATCATATCTACATATGCATATACATAAACATACACACAGACACACACACACACTGCCACATTTCAGCCAATCACACTCAGGCCGAAAATAGCAGACGACACTAGACTAAGCCACTCCATAGCAGACGTGTAACACAGTTCATGCTGTGTCCCTTTCGGCGTGAAATGTGTTTTTGAAATGTTGTTGATAAAGAGGAAAATGAAGAAATGTTAGTACGCTTTGTGATTTATTTTATTCCATAGTCAGTTCACGAAGACATGTTTTTTTTCACAATGAATGGTGGAGCCAACTGCTCAACATACACAGTCATACAGACATATAGAACATAACAAAATAAATAAAAAACTTAAAAATACACCGACAGGCATAAAGCTACGACACACACGATCTTAAAACACATAAGAACATTAACATTCACTAGAGAATCTACCAGAGAATATTATTTTCTCTCAAAAATTATCCTTTCTCTCCTAGCGCGCCATTTCATCATGGAGTGTCTTAAGCCTTGAAACAACTTCGACTCGGTAAGCGCAAGACTTTGACTTTGGCCTTAATAATAAAAGTGTACAGTAGTAGTCCAGCACCTTCCTCATGACACACTTAGCATGGCAACCCCTCTACATATGAAGTACGAAGTAGGTTTCACGTCAGCTTAATCTGAAAAGGTTAAGGCGTTATTATTTTTGCACGGTCACAGCAGGCATCTCTAATCGCCGCTTGGCAAAATGGCGCTGCAGGAATATGCTCAAGTCGACGTACGAGGCAGTACGTCTGCTAACTCTACGGTTTATTTTTTATTCATTTATTTTATTTTATTTTATTATGAGTCTAGGGGTCTTTATCGGGACAAACGAAATATGACTCATTGACGCATGATGACTGTACAAGATGGAGTGTGAAACTGCTGCATGCCACAGCAGCGGAGGGGGATCAACTGGAGGGGCTACTTCTGCTGCAGGGTTTTGTGATCATTAAAACAAAACATTTGATTTTAGACACTCAGAAATATGACTATTTCCTTATCGTTATGAACGGCTCGACAGCAGATACTGGATGTTATCTTAAGCAAACTCCTTATTTATTTTGTCGACACGATCCTGGATCCACTGTCTTTTTTGCGAGTATACCTGGTGCGTTGCGAAGCCCATCATGCGCAGGTGAGTCGCCTGGAGCCAGTTGGTGAAGGAGGACACGCGCGTGTACACGTTGGGCGTCCCCGGCTCCGTGCAGTCCCGCGACCACGACACCAGCCCCGCCAGGAACCAGCGCCCGCCGGCCTCGCACGCCAGGGGGGAGCCGCCGTCCATCGTGCTCTGGGGGTTGGGGGGGGGGATTTTAGGAGGTCGGAAGCTAGGTCAAAGTTCGTGCTAAAGGGAGATTTGTTTGCGTTGAAAAGTAAGTATCCGTTTGCTCTCCGGAATAAAAGAAGATCGTCAGAGACTCCCTCGCTGAAATAAAACATGCATGTGCATAAGACCACATATTTTCTCAAAGACGCACACGAACAAACAAACCTTTCCGCCCACCAACAACTCAAACACCACAAGTACATACGTAGCAAGCACTGCCGTCGCCAGTACCGCCGGCGCAGAGGAAGGAATCGGACGAAGCCAAGATCTCCGAACGCGTGACATTCCGCAACGTGTCTCGACAGTCGGCTTCCTTGTGGACGGGGACCGAAAGCTGCCTCAAAATGCCCTCCAGCGGCACCGTCTGCTGTACGTCTGCAAATGGAAATCATACATAAATTATCAAGAATGTGAATGATATTATTTTAGTTTTAATTAATTATTGCGGTAATTATTGTTGCCGTCTGACTTCATTCATCAAGTGTTCTCGTATTTACAATGTTTATATACGCATCATGTAAAGTATTCTTGTGAGTTTAGAGAGATACTTGATGATAAATCTGATTGATCTTTGCAGTGCGTGATATTTTTTGCCGTTTGTGTCCAGTAAGATATGTACAAGACATTAATCATCAAGGAGTATATTCATCATAACTTGTTGACAGCTTTGTATTGCCATTACATTACTAATCGAAGTAGTAGTAAGAAAATGATTAGTACGGGTAATACAGGGTACTATAGACTAACGTGAAGTATACTATATGCTGCATAACATGTATAATAATATAATGCTAACAATCATTATGAACATTACTCTTTGGCGATGCATTGCACCTCAAACACTTCTGGAAATCGTTACCCTTTCCCACAAATAGCAAATCACGGAAATAATACATTACCTTTCCTCACCCGCGTCCAAAACACCAAAGAGGATCATAAAAAAATAAATATATAAATAAATAATGAATAATAAATAAATAAATAAATAAATAAATAAATAATAAATCAAAAATAAATAAATGAATAATAAATAAATAAATAAGTAAATAAATAAAGAGAGATCGCACGGTCGAAATCCACCTCAAATCCCAAGAAACGAACACATCAGCCTCTGCGGGCGCGCGCGAGGGCCAAGGACGCCCCCGGCCCCACGCTGCGCGCCCTTCGAGCCTCACCCTTGAGCATGGGCGCCGGGATGTCGCCGACGCCGTAGCCCGTGACGGTGCAGGTCTGGGCGGGGAACATGGCGTCCTGCTGCGCCATGCACACCAGGCACACGTTGTCGCTGAGGGTCGCGTGGTCGCGGAGCCTTATCACGCCTGCGGGAGGGAAGGGGGGGCGGGTGGAGATGGGGCTCGCGGGTGCAGGTAGACGGGTACATGCACACACGCATACACACGGATACACATACACACGTACACACGGACACACACACACATACACACGGACACACACACATACACATACACACGGACACACACACATACACACGGACCACACACACATACACACACACACACACATACACACAACACACGGACACACACGCATACACACGGACACACACGCATACACACGGACACACACAACACACGGACACACACACACATACATACACACGACACACACAACATAACACACGGACACACACACATACACACGGACACACACACACATACACACGGACACACACACATACACACGGACACACACACATACACACTACACACACACACACATACACACGGACACACACACACAACACACCACACACATACCACGGACACACACGCATACACACGGACACACACGCATACACACGGACACACACACACATACACACGGACACACACACACACATACACACGGAACACACACACATACACACGGACACACACACATACACACGGACACACACACATACACACGGACACACACATACACACGGACACACACACACACACACACACACACACATACACACATACACACACACACATACACACGGACACACACGCATACACACGGACACACACGCATACACACGGACACATACACACGGACACACACACACACACACACACACACATACACACGGACACACACACACACATACACACGGACACACACACACACACACAACACAACACGGACACACACACGGACACACACACACATACACGTATATGCTCATATAATACAAACATTTATGTATGTACAGTATCCATAGTTATATATATTCTACTCTTTAATTTTCTCTCACCTATATCACTCGCGTGCGCGCCCCCGGAGGTGAAGTAGTCGGGGTGGGTGACCACTTCTGCGAGGGAGTGGAACTGCACCCCGTAGGGAAGGTCCTCGCGCAGGTTGCTGTCGCCGAACACCACGATGTACCGAGACAAGTCGCGGTTCTGCAGCCTGGAACAAAAGCGGGTCGGAGGCATTGCAGATGGGTTGTGGAAGTGGTTCGTGGTCTTAATCTATCGGTTTAGACGTTATGAAAAGGTTTAGGAATGTAGAAGTGAGATAAAATGGGCTATTAAAAAGGAAAACGAATAGTGAGAGTAAAAGAAAAGGGAAGAATGGAGAAATAAAAAA